TGCAGAGGATTTAGTTGTGGAAGGTTATACCGACGTAAGCTTCCAAACAGACAGAGACAATTTCAAATCGCAATCTGGATATGTGTTCTGTCTAAATGGAGGGGCGTTTAGTTGGAAGAGCGCAAAGCAGAGTACAACTGCAGATTCTACAACTGAAGCTGAATACTTAGCAGCTGCTGAAGCAACTAAGGAGGTTGTTTGGATTTGTAAGTTCGTTGGTGAACTTGATGTTGTACCCTCTATAAAGGGTCCAATAGCCCTCTATTGTGACAACAATGGAGCTATTTCTCAGGCCAGAGAGCCTAGGGAACATCAGAAGGTCAAACATGTCAAGCGGCGATTTCACATGATTCGAGAATGGAAATCAGAGGGTGAAATCAGAATTTGCAAAGTTGGAACGGATGACAATGTAGCCGATCCACTTACTAAACCTTTGCCTCAAGTGAAGCACAACAAGCACGTTGAGGCAATGGGAATCAAGCATGTAGGAGACTGGCTTTGATTTCCTTGTTTAGTGTTTTAGTTAATTTTGAGAAAAATTAATGTAAGACGCTAAGGAAAACCATTCAAATTTTGGAGTAATATAAAATTTCATGCAATATTTTATTACTCCGTTATGCTATTTAATTGTGGTTTAGGATTAAATAATGAGTCCATTCGATTCAGAGAATATTCAAAATAGGGTATCAAGACCAGTCTTGGTAAGGAAACACCTATTAAGTGAACATTGAATATTATAATCGAAAATTATCCCTAATAAAGGTCATTTAAACGATGGACGATTAATGACCAATTGAGATTAGTGTGTAGTCTGATTTATAGCACCGTTTCATGTGCTACAAGGACATGATTGTCATAAATCATTTGCACAGGTATTGGTTTAGAACCATACTGGATCGACTTATGAGAATACTTTAAGAAATTAAAAATTTGTCATAAGTATACTTCTCATTATGGCTATCGGAACCTATTTCCTCGACCATGAGTATTGTGAGTTCTCTTGTTTGAGTACTAGTTCGCTTTGATATTGTCAAACGTCTGCCGTAATAGGGGATTATAACGGCAACACTCGGGCGACTAGGTCCTCTCAGTAAGAGGAGCTACATTACAAGACTGGGAATGTCCCCCTACTAAAATAGGGAAGATGTCTTTGTTGTATACAAGGCCTCTCGTAGAGCGAGACTGTAAAATGCATGGCCGTGCTCGGATGGATTTTAGAAATCATCTGTTTATTGACAGTCGGACTCGAAATCGGGAAACACTTCTGGACGTAATAAGGATGACAACACAAATCTTACCTTATAGTTCATGAAGAGACATTAAGCGACATAGGAAAAAGGTTGTACACAAAATGCGCACTTGTTCGGAAGGACAAGTGGGAGATTGAAAGGAATGGTGTCCTTCGAACAAGTGTACTATTTCGTTAGTGGGTTCAGAATTTTAGAAAGCTAATATATTCAGTGAGGTCAAGTGATCGGAATGCCTGGGTGAAGGCCGCTTCCGATCAGTAATATTAATGAATAATTAATATTACAGCTTAATCTTGACTGAACCCTTCGGGTCACACCCAAGCATTCAACAAACCGAACCGACGAATTAATTCGGAAGGAATTAATGAGTCGACCGAGTAATATTTATTTAGACGTCGGAAATTCGAGCTTAGAGCGTCGAAACCGAGCGTCGAAAGTCGAGTCGAAAAATAGTGAAAGACGAGACGAGAAATAGTAATAAATCAACAAAAGACCAAAATACCCCTAGCATTGGAATGCCCAAGCAAACCGAGTGCTAAGGGTGTATGGCCTAGCACGATGGCTAGCATGCGCACCAAGCAGAGCCTAGGTTGGCTGGTGCGTGCTAGCGCACCCATGCTAGCATCGCAATGCTAGGCGCTGCCTAGTGCGTGCTAGCATGCTAGGCGCAGCCTTGTGCGCGCAATGGCTAGCAAGCCATGCCGCAACAAGCTGCTGCAGCTAGCACGCTAGGCGCGCCAGCTCGCCACAGCTAGCAGCAGCATGGCTAGGCCATTGCTTGCTGCCCAGCAGCGCTGGCCAAGGCACAAGGCCAGCAACAACCCGCACAAGCATGCTGGGCTTGCTGGCCAGCAGCGCCTGGCAGCCCGCATGCGAATGCTGGGCTTGCTGGGCGTGGCTGCCACGGACAGCAGCACATGGCAGCCCACCTTTGCTGCCTTGGTGCCCAAGGGTGGGTGCCATGTGGCTAGTGGTCCTTGAGTGTGTGTGAAATGAGGTGGCCGGTTATGGGAGAGGGTGTGGGGAGCAAGTTTTGTCCCCCCCTTCTCCAAGTGGTCCTCACCTAACCACTCACATGAGCTTGCCACTTGTTGATTTATTACTAGCTTGATTATTAATTTTATTTTAGCTTTAAAATAAAATGGAAAAATCATACTATCCCACATTGATGGGAGAGTAAATGATACTCCCATCATTTCCTATAAATACCCAAGTATGGGCATTGGGAATGATGCTTGAGTAAGAGTTGGAAAAGGCATCACAACTAGTGAAAACCTTTGAACTCAATATAATTACTCGGGTTTTATTGGTCGGGTCTTGCTAACCCCAAGACATTGGACCTAGTCGGTTTTGTTGGTGCGGGTGGACTTCTTTGGAGGTCTCTGTGTGAGCGGGACTTGAAGCTTTCAAGTAAGAGCTCATTTTGGAGCGAAGCACGCGTCAAAGGTAATTAGCTTATCTTAATCTTGTGATTAATATAATTATGTTTATGGTTTTATTTATTGCGAGTGCGATCTTGTTTTTGGGTTTGTTTCCGCGTTGAGTCGGACTCACCAAACCCCAACACTGAAATCTATTTAAGTTCCAGTATACAGAGTGTTCCTCAAAGAAGTTGGTGGTTGAAGTAAGGGAACTTGGTAATCAATTAGCAAGATGAATATGTGTTGTATTTAGCAGGAGGTTCAAGAGTATGAAATGAAGAACAAATGTGATGAACCTCGTCTTTTCTAAAGGTCTAAACGAAGAGCACAAATTCCACTTCTTATTCCCTCTACTTATTTGTTCCATATGCTTCTCTATATATCCTTTGAGCTTGCACTTTCATTTGTCTATTCATGCAATCCATTTCTAACTTTTTAGCTCTGATCTGTACTTGATTTTTAACTTCTTGTTTGTCAAGTTCAATTAAGGGTTTTGAAGTTGGGCTTTTGGATTGTGAGTTGGAAAATAGTGTGGAAATGGTATCCTTGTTTGAAAAGTGAGTACCTTGAGGCTTTTAGGAACAACAAGTGTTTAACCATTATATATTTACTTATTATATGGTGGTAGGTATGACATATGACTTTACGTGTGCATAATTTACGAAAAACAAACGTGTGGAACAATACCCTTTTTGATAATAACAAAAGGGGGAAGAATATGTATGATGCTTATGGTATGTATTAGTAAGTCTAAAGTTCTTACATCATGATTCATTGAAAGTATTTATATATTGATAAATGATGTGTATTGCTAAGTTCCTAACTATGTTAAGTTCCTGTGTATGTTCCTAACTAGTTCAAATGTTATTTCCTTGAAAAATTAAGGGGGAATAAATGTACAATGATTATCCTTTAATATGTGATAAGCATCATTAGTTTGTCATCATCAAAAAGGGGGAAATTGTTGAGCAATTAGGTTTTGATGATTATAAACTAATGATGATTATCTATCTAACGTGTAATTTAAGTTGTGCAAAGAGCAAGTTATGCTTGGAACAGGATACAAGGAACCTGAGTAATGACAAGTATATATGTAAGGAACTTGAGCAATATAGTATAAGCAATAGAGGAACAAGAACAACGATAAGTGTTATGGTTGATAAGCATGATAATGGCTAAGGAACCATGAAGGTAACTATGTAAACATGTGTTTGCATATGTTAGCTTCATAAGGTAAGTATCCTATACATATATAGGTCATGTATGCGTAGGAGTCTTTTAATTTAGTTTAGTTTTATTTATTGTTTTTTATAAATGAAAAAACTAACCTTCTGAGTTACTTTGTTATCCTCATAAGTTTGCTCAGTTTGTCATCATCAAAAAGGGGCAAAGGTGTTTCCTGACAGGAACATATCAACGGGTTGTAACGACCTGGTTCCGGTGTAATGTTGGGGCAAACCCTAAGATCCAGAATATACCAAGACTACAGGATTCCAGAACAAGAGTTTTAGAGAAGCAACATGAAGACAGAGAAATAGAAGTATATTGCTCTAGGATTCATGTAAGTATGTTGGACATAAAAGTCGGTCTGGAACAAGTCTATATAGAACCAAGGTGAACTCCAAACAGTCAATGAAATTAGAGTGACTGACTCGTCAGGAACTCAGAGACTGTCAGAGTTCGGGAACCTAATAGGAACTTAAGTATGCACGTCGTTAAAAGTCGGTTTTAATGATATATATATTTACCTTATACGTGCATATCTTTTAGGGATTTGGTTTTATTGAATAAAGATATTTATCTTCTAATAAATCCCTTTTGGAAAAAGATAATCTTGTTTAAAAAGTATTTTTAAACAAAAAGATAAGATTAGAATAAAATCTGATTTTATGTTAATTATATCTTATTATTCATAACAGATTTTATCCTTAACAAAAAGATATATTTTCAGAAAACTGACTTTTAGAAAATATCTTTTAAACTTTTCTTTTCAGAAAATCTATCTTTTTCAAGATAAAATGAATAATTCGAGCGTACTATAAATATGCTCATATGTATTCATTCAAAGTTGAGGCTGACGAAGTGTAGTGGTCGTGCTTAATGGTTTCATCCTTCACCACGAAGCTAAGTCATTCCTCTTGGTCAAAGTTCCTATCAGGTTCTGGTTACAGTACGTCCAGTGAGTTCCAGACATCTCGAGTGTCCAACATATTAGTTTTATCTCTTTATTCATATATATGTATTTAGAGTTATTCTTTGAGATCTTGTAATGGGAAAAGGGGTTTGAGTATTTTGGGTTTTGGGGTGAGATTGTGAATTCTCTTAAATTCACATTTGAGTGTATGAGTTTGAAATCTCTAAAATTTAAGTGGTAGCTGTGAGTGTACAGTGAGTGAAAGGAACCTGAGAGGTGTCTTGGGTCAAGTGAAAGGAACCTGAGAGGTGTGAGGTGTCCTGGGTAAAGGGAGAAAAGGGTCCTAGGAAGTGTCTTAGGTCTGGTAGGAGGTGTCCTATCATATAGGCAAGTGTCCGTGGTGGAACTTGCGAAGCAAAGGTCTGTGTAATAGGTTGTACTAGGAGAGTTGCCTATTATAGTGGAATTTGTTTATAAGTCCCAATAGGGTCGATGTTTTACTTCCAGCTAGGCACTAGATGGTTTCCTCGTAAAACTTGTTGTGTTCTTTAAGTTCCTTTTATGTTTTGTTTTTAATTTCCGCATAAGTTTCACGATTGGAACCTACTACCATTCACCACCCCCCTCTCGTAGTAGTTCATCTAAACTAACATATTGACTGTTAAAATTATGTCTCGACACACGTGAAAACTCAAGTGATACATACAAAATAAAAAATAAAAAAATTTAAACATTAAAGAAATAGGAAAAGGAAGTATATCATACGGAAAGAGACCTAGATAACAAATTGCTCAAACGAAGTAGCAAACAAAGCTACGGATCAAAAAATAACTAAATTTGACATCCCTATATTAATCACCAAATAATGTCGACATTTTCAAGATACTCTTTTATCCATAGTACCTTTTTTATCTTCCTTTTTTCCATCTAACATAATTTCTTTTATTTTAACTTCCTTTCTTAGTTCTCTCATGAACCATCCAATATTGTTGTAGGAATGTGAATGTCATTCCTTTTCTTCCGTAACCCTACCATTCAAACTTCTATAAAAACTAACCTTCTTTCATAATATATATCTCAAATCATAAGTTCAAAAAAAAAAAAAAAAAAAGGGAAAAAACATGGCAAAAACAATTTTTTACTATGTGCTTACTATTATGCTACTCCTGCCCACAATTGTAGTAGCTGAGTGTAGTTGTGAAGCTAATGACTTACCCCGTGACGGCAAGTCCGTAACCCTCAAGTTTAAATTAGGTGCCATAGGAGCAATCCTTGGAGCCGGAGCATTCGGAGTAGGGATTCCTCTACTAGGCAAACGGATATCCGTTTTACGGCCCGAAAACGATATATTCTTCATGATCAAGGCCTTTGCCGCAGGAGTAATCCTCGCTACCGGGTTCATCCACATACTCCCGGAAGCTTTTGAGGGGTTGACGTCTCCTTGTATAGGGGAAACTCCTTGGCAGAAGTTCCCCTTTGCCGCGTTCATCGCGATGGTGGCTTCGATTGGGAGCCTAATGGTGGATTCATTGGCAACAGGGCATTATAGAAGGGTTCACTTTGGTGGGAAAGATGGTAATAAGGAAGTTTCTATTAATAGTAAAGTGGTCGATGAAGAGAGTAATGATGCACATGCTGGTCACGTGCATGTTCATACTCATGCTACTCATGGTCATTCTCATGGTCATGTTGGTGAAGGTAGTGATGAATTAGGGGAACAATTGAGTAAGCTTGAACTTATTAGGCATCGTGTTACTGCTCAGGTAACAATAGTTATTTTTATCGTGTATTTACATACGTATCTATCTATTTCAGTCAATTTTATTTATTTTCAAAACTAGATGAAAACATATTTCAAACCAAGATGTTTAACGTACTTTATTATGAGTTTAAAAGAAAACGTATTCAATTTTTATCTATATTAGTAAAATATTTGAAACACAACAGGGTCGGCCCGGAGGGGTAGGCCTTGAGTGCGACCGCCTAGGGCCCACGCCAGAAAGGGGCCCAAAATTTCAAAAAAAAAATCAGTTTGCATAGCTGTAGAATTTAAACCGTTTAAACTGTAGTTTTTAATCGTTAAAAAATAAGCTACTTTTAAAAATGATAAATAATGCATTTAGTTAGCAATTAACATTAGATTACTTAGATATCATTTAGGTGGAGATAACTATGCAATATAACCTCTTCTAATCTTCCGATTTCTATGAGTATCTGCTTCAAAATATTAATCTTTTCAATTACACCGTTTCGTATTAATTCAATTACCGAAATATTATGCAAAGTTATTACTCCAGTATTGTGTATGGAGACTTAGTATTTAAATAATTTAAGTTATTTTCATTGTCTTATATTTAAATTAAAGCCATTGCGTGTAAAAAAAATTGTTTACGTAAAGGGCTCTTTTCTTACATTATGTCTAGGGCCCATATATTTCTAGGAACGGGGCTGAAACACAAGTGACTAGACTACAAATCTTAGTATCTCAGTCAATTTTGTTTCTTTTCAAAATTAAATGAAATCATATTTCAACCAATATGTTTACTATACTTTATTATAAGTACGAGTATAATATATATATATATATATATATATATATATATATATATATATATATATATATATATATATATTAGTAAAATATTTGAAACACTAGTGAGTGGACTACAAATCTTAGTATCTCAAACAAACTTTAAAGGGTCAAAAAGTTGAAGCAAAGGATGTCATATTCTTCTTTACTCCTATATTCTTTAGCATTATTAGGTGCCAACTTAATGGTTACTTACTAATTTATATATCACGCCTAATAAGTTTCAACTTTCAAAGTTCAAATTATATAAAACTCTTAAATTTTGAATTCAATCATAAAAGTACTATAAAGTTGCTAACAGACATGAACACACACCCTTCTTTTATACCTAAGATTTTATCAATAATATCTATATCTAGCAAACTAACTATTATTTGGATGGTTTTTATTCAGGTATTAGAGCTGGGAATTGTGGTCCATTCAGTAATAATAGGCATATCATTGGGAACATCTCAAAGGCTTGATACCATTAAACCTTTAATGGTTGCATTAAGTTTCCATCAATTTTTCGAAGGCATGGGACTTGGTGGCTGCATCAATCAGGTAAACAACTGAAACAAAACTTATTCTTGCTTGTTTGGCATCGGTTTTTGTTTGCAGTTTTCTATTTTTTTAAAAACAAAGAACTGGAAACAAGAAAAAATTGTTTTTACTTTTCTGTTGTCAATTTTTAATTTGCCTAATATTTGATTTATTATATGATTTTTTAAAAAATTATAGCACTCATAAATCAATGAAATCATCATTTTTTTACAGGCGAAGTTCAAGTCACGAGCTATGGCAACAATGGCAATGTTTTTCTCACTTACAACACCAATTGGTATTGGCATTGGCATTGCAATCGCCGGTGTATATGACCAAAGTAGCCCTCGATCACTAATTATACAGGGGATATTCGAGGCGGCTGCAGCAGGTATACTAATATATATGGCACTTGTTGATCTACTAGCTGCAGACTTCATGAATCCAAGGATGCAGGCAAATACTAGGATTCAATTAGGCTCACATATTTCATTACTTTTAGGGGCTGGTTGTATGTCTGTTTTGGCTAGATGGGCATGATATAGTAACATTTTTATTTTATTTTTAAAATTTTGTTAGTAAGAAATTTACTTCCTTTGTTCTTTTTCAATTGACATATTTCATTTATCACGTTTATCAATGTAAAATTTTAATTTCTAATAAGTAAAAATAATAGAAATTACATATTACTTAATCCCATGTGAATATGTTTTTACTTGTATATACTTCATAAAAGATGATCAAAGGATGAATGATGAATAGTGTAAAAGTCAAAGCGAGTCAAGTAAAAAAGAACGAATGAAGTATAAGCAATTAAGTAATATAAGGTAAAAACGCAATTCATTATTGTTTTTGTCATTGGTTTGGAAATCCCACCAAATTTTGTCATACACTTTGCTCATGTTTGTTTAATGGTTATTTTACTTTTGCTTTCCTGATATTATCTAGCAACTCAATGGGCAATCGAAATGCTAATTGCCCTTCTTCCCAAGAAGAAACCCCTAAAGAAAACAGTGGCGGATCTTGGTCAAAACTATTAGAGGGGCTGGGATTTGAATTTTTTATCTCTCACTATAAAATAATCACTATGTTCTAATATTTATATGTAAAATAAGGTTATTTAAGTTCATTAGCTTGTGTAAAAAAAAAAAAAAAAAAAAAAAAAAAAAAAAAAAAAAAAAAAAAGTTTATTAGTTAATTTATTTCAACAATTTACCGGGAGTCGGGCCCTTAATGGCCCCGGTAGAAGATCCCCCTCTGAAAGAAAAGTAAATACGTACTAGCTTTGTAGGGGGTAAGTGCGCAAATTTTGCCAAATATTCATAGGCCATTTTTAATGTTTCTGTCAAACTTTCTAAACCTTCCAATATCTAGAAAGATGTTCAAACTTGCAAAAATGGTTATTATTCCTTCTGATTTGACAACTTTTTGAGTAAAAAAATATCCAATTCACACGTATAATCAACTTCTCAATTGTACATATTTGTGATGAATGTTGTGATGAATGAAAGCATTAGAAAAAAATAAATAGAAAAATCGTCAGGAATAATGACCGGTATTTCAAATATTAAAACGACATTTCGATTTATTCCAAATCGACTTTTGACATACATCTACTCAATGTATAATCATAGGTACCATGTTAAATAACCAAACATGTGCCACATTGTCATTGGTTAGGATTTTCTATTTTAATTTTACCTTTTATAAAAAAAAATGTCAACAACTACCAATTAAAGCACGTGTTTTGAAAACAATTACATATTAAATTTTTTTTTAAACAACTACCACAAAGTTATAAAAAGTTTAAGTAGCACTAGCACTCTAACAATTTTGGCTAGAATTTTCGGCATTTGGATCTCACTTTTCATCACCTTATATCTTTATAAAGGGTAATTTTGTCAATTTAGATGGTGATTTTGGTAAAGGTAAAAACTGGAACCTACATGTCGAATATTTTAGTTGAAATTATTAGACTGGTAGTGCTACTTAAACTTTTTACAATTTTATGGTAGTTTTTTTTAAAAGAAAATTTTAATAGGTATTTATTTTTAAAACACACGCTTTAATTGGTAATTTTTGACAAAATATCCTAAAAAAATGATTTTTGATTAAAATTTTTTTTTTAAAAAAAGTCCCGTTTCCATTACCATAGCCATTCAACCACCCTGTCAGCCCCCTCCTCCTTCCCGTTTGACAACCCAATCGGCCCCTCTTATCCGTTCCGCCACCCCATCAACCCCCTTCCTATGCCAACTTTGCACCAACCACAATTGTTGGTTTCAAGGGGCTATCTAGCAAGGAGGTTTAGAGATTAGGGTCAATGGGGGTTTAAGTGAGGATAGGGTGAGGAGTTTAGGTGTATGAGGTGTTGGACTGTTGGTGGTGTGAGGTGAGCTATTGTGGAGAGAGTGGGCTGACGGGAGGGGTGTATAATTTCTAATTAGAATTAATTAAGAAAATTGTAAAAATTAAAATAAAATACCGATTACAATACGACACGTGTGATAATTAGCTTGTTAACTTGGTTTGCAACAGGTCACGTTCTATTTTGAGCAGATATTCGTTAATGGTCGTTTTATTTGGAAAAACTAAATGATCGTTTTATATTTGAAAGACTGGGACCAAATATCGTATTTTTCTTGTCAATTTTTCCAAAATAAATATCAAAAGAAATAATTGTGTATCTAACTACAATAAGTTAAGCTTGGTCTAATGGTAAGCAATTTACCTTCTAACTACTACCTCCGTTTCTTTTTAGTTACACGTATACTTTTTTAGAAAGATTTTTTTTTTAGTTGACACGTTTTTTTTTTTTGGGTAAATTTTTTACCTTACATTTACAAGCTACCACACTTGCTTTTTCATTCTCTCTCACTCTCTCTCCTCTCCTTAATATAGGTGACTAAATCAAACACGTCAACTAAATAAAAACGGATAAAAGTATAAGGTTAGACATTATATCCCCCACTATGTACACTTTGAGAGTGGTAATCTCTTATGACCTGTTGTTTTGAATGCAGCCTCAATGGTGCATTTGCTTCTTGTCTTGGTGACCCTGGGATTGGCAGGAGGGTAGTGTTTAAAATGAATAAATTAATTCGTCAATTATTTTAATCGCGTCATTAGAATTTTTTCAGTATTCGTAATTCGTTCTTCTCTTTTGTGTTTTTTCGTATGAAAATGCGTTTGTGTGAAATTCAATAGATTTGTCTTCAATTTTACATTATTCTCTGTCTTGACGTCGTGCTATGCTTGTTCAAGGGGTTTTGCTGGAGATATTTTCGATGATCACGCGGTGTCGTGTGTTAGTATGGTGGGTATTAAACATCGGCATAATGTTGTTCGGGATACCCTTGTTGATATTTGTTATCATTCTGGGATTTCAGCAAGAAAAGAGGTTGACATTGGGTTGTCTGGAGGTAATGACGAGGCTCTCAGACCTACGGAGGTGTTACTTTATTCCTGGGATCGTGGTCGCGATGTCTGTGTTGATTTGACAGGGTCTTCTCCTTTGACACAGTCAGGGCTATCTGATTTCATTGGAAACGAGTTAAGTATGAAGCTCGATGTCAGGCAATTGGATATGGTTTCATTCTTTTCTCTTTTTCTTCACTTGGGGAATTAGAGAAAGAGGTTGTTGCATTGCTGAAGCGGGTTCAAAAATTCTCGACGACGCAAGACATTGGGGCACGTGCTGCTGCTCATATATTTACTAGGATTGGATTTGCTATAGCTAGAGGAGTGGGGGCCCAGATTGTATCTCGACTACCCACTAACTTTTTATAGGTTGTATGACTTTGTCTGTTTTGATATATAATAATTGTTTTGGGTGATTTTATCCCTCGGGAGAGTTGCGTCACAAAGATTGGTCCAACTGAGCTGTACCTGCAAAAACAACGGAGACTCTGGCTGGTGAAGCTCCGCCTCCGAAGATCAAGTTAGTAACTTAAAAGGGAATAAAGAGTACGAAAATTTAGGTGGAGATCTGCTTGAATTCCAAGCTCAGGTGTTTCTCTGATGAGAGAGAAAGTAGGTGTAATAAATGATTGAATATGTCCCCAAAATGGGGAAATATCTCCTTATTTATAGGGTCATTGATAGGAGTGCCCCTATCTAGGTCACTTGACCTAGATTTTATTGGGTTGCGCCGAATTACGACGCTTCTTGGGATTTAGGCCCTTGAAGGCCGTCATTTCAGAAGCTATCTGAAGGGGACACGTGTCGAGAGGCTTTTGGGCCACTTGGGCCAGCCTGAACTTGACACATGACCTTCTCTCATTGGTCCACATGTCTAGGGTATTTTTATCCTAAACAATAATAATAATAGTAATAATAATAATAATAATAATAATAATAATAATAATAATAATAATAATAATAATAATAATAATAGTCGGAATAGTAATAGTAGTAGTAATAATAATAATGATAATAATAATAATAATAATAATAATAATAATAATAATAATAATAAAATTTGTTCTGCTCTGCTCTGCTGAAATCTAATCTCTGCTATGCCTAGAAGCTCAAAAGAATAGGGCTTTAGTTAACAGCACATTGCTCTACTACCAGCTTGTACCAAAACTCTTTCTTGCATATACAAAAAAAAAAAAAAAAAAAAAAAAATTAGTACAAGGACACTTATTATAGGCAACAATGATTCTTTTTTTGAAGAATTTCAGTACGGTAAGCTTTGCTTTAAAAGTCAAGTGTAAAAAGATTCTAGCTGATCAAATTTGAATAATGTGATCTTGATTGACTAAAAGTAGACATCAGCCAAAACTTTAATCTCTCTAATACAGGCCTTTTTGGATGGTGCTTATACATCACTACTTTACTCTCACAAACAACATTGTTGGTGCTACCAATATTTTCGCTCGTCAACTTTACACAATCCACAATATAATAAAGTAAATTTCCAGTTTCCACGTAGCAAATAAAAAGGGATGGAGGGAGCATTTAACTCAGGATCCTTGAGCATGTTTTTTATCGCTCATAAGTTGGCAATCTTGGTAATAAGCTAGGAAGAGTAGAGGCAGGTATGGCATGGTTAACACGTATTTACCCAAGTCCGCATTGAGCGCGATGGGCGTGGCTTGTGCTTGCCATGGTTTTTCTTTTAACATTAGCCACGGTAGTCTGTAGCATTACTACTACAAAAAAAATTCAACGTATGAACTAGCACAACCCAACATGGTAGTTGTTCCATGCCTCTTAACACTACATGAGGCACAGCCCACTACCATACTAAAAATGGCTAGTAATCTTTAATCTCTTAATTATTTGTTTTTTAAATTTAGATCTGAAGCAAATTACGTGACAGTAACATGAATCTTAGTATCTGACACAAAAATTAACTTTTCTTCAGCATCTTCTTCTACTTGATCGCCTTAATCCCATAATTTGAGTCGACTATATGAATCAACATGAGGACTGAGGACTTCCCAGGAGGTCACCCATCCCATTACTATTCTCAATCATTGTGGCTCATGTCAAGCAATGTGACAAAAATTAACCTATGAAATTAAGAAAATTAACTATAACCTACCTCCTTAAGAGATGATAGGGTTGTTGCCCCTTCCAAAAGAACAGTCAATTTTAAAAAGAAATACACCGCAAAAGTCACAGATATATGGTTACTAATTTTCCTTGTAATAGCACCACCATTATTTTTACCCTTTCTA